CCCCTGGTTTGGAGAAGGCTGGGTTTGTTGTTACTGCTTTCTTTCAGGTCAACAGATCTCTTTCAGCATGCTGAGGCATAAAGTAGCCACTACTAACCGCAATGGCTAAATTTGTGTTTACTCCCCAAGCTCTTCAAACAGAGTTTGGATGCTTATCAGTTATAGAACCTGCATACTAGGAAGGAGGTTGGAGTGGATGACCTCCCCAGCCTCTTCGGTTTTGGAATTCACTTTACCTTGTCTGCGATGACCTGTTTGCGTCGTTCTTGGATCAGCTTCTCCACCTCTCTCCTATGTTCCAGTTGCTTCATTCTTCGTTTCTGAGCGTTCATCTGCTCAATACGGTCATCTTCTGCAAATTTGGCTAACATGGCCTGGCCAAAGGCCACCTCCTCTTCCTTCAAGGCCTGCAGCAGCATCTTCCTTGAAGCCAGCTGTTCTTCATAGGAGTTCCGGAGCTCTAGGCGCTGCCTGATCTTCTTCTCCAGCTCTTCCTGCACACGGAACAAAAGCTTGGCTCCAAACGCCTTTTATGCTCTCCGCCAGAAGAGCAGGACTCGGGCATCCCCCTTTCCTTGCTGCCCCCTGGCCCCCCATGCCAACCTGGGACTCGAGGCAAAGGTATTTACCATCTCCTTCTTCCTCTCTGCCTCCGCCTGTTCTTCAAAGTGCAACTCAGCTTGGATTTGCTCAAGTTCCTCTCGCTCCTGCTGCTCTTTTTTCAGAACTTCTGCAAGCTACAAGCAAGAGGAAAGACAAGTTTAGGCAGCTCCCGCCCAACCAGATCTGGGGGGCAGAATAGCAATGTCAATACCATTTGCTGGAGTTTTCTTTTTTTCTCCTCATTTTCATGAATCTTTGCCATTCGGTTGTCTTCTCTCTCCTGCCACATGTTAGCAAATTCCATGATCTTTTGGTTTTCCTCTTCCATCTCTTCACGCTGTCGTCTCCTCCGCAGGGCCTGGTCTTTTTTGAATTCTTCAATGAATTTCTGCGTTGTTCTCTTTTTCTCCAGTCTCTCTTGTCTTGCCCTATGGGAAACGTGCAGAGCTTCAGTAATGCACCTGGAGGAGCCTGGCAACCTCTACGGGGAGCTTTGCTGCTCTCTCTCTGAATTGCCTCCCCCCTTTCAGTGAGTGCTTGGAAGTTTCTTAGCTGCAGGCGCTGGGTGTGGATAAGCAGCCTGTTACGACTGCTCCTCAGGGATGGGAGCTTAAGCAGAGACTCCACGGTCTCAGCAGATGCATCTATGATACAAAAGCAAAAAGCGCCAGTCCCAACCCACAGCAGGGTGGTACAGGTAGTCTTTGACTTATGAAAATTGAGGCTGGAACTTTTGTCACTAAGAGATGTGGCTGCTAAAGTGAATCACAACCTTTTTTGCCAGTCATTAAGAAAATCACAGAGTTGTTAAGCAAATCTGGTTTCCTCCACCAACTTTGCTTGTTCAACTCCCACCCCCACCCCCACCCCACTGAGCATATTGCAACTAGAAACACACACCAGTTGCCAAACACCCAAATTTTGATCGCAAGTTACAGGGACATTGTGATGGTTGTAAGTGTGGGGATCAGTCCTTTTTTTCAGTGCTGTCATAACTTCCAACTTATTGAATGGTTGTAAGTCAAGGACTACCTGTAATTGTCAGGCCAATTCATCCTAAAGAAAGTACAAGTAGTTCAGTCAAGAAAGTTTAATATAATATAAACTAACTTTTCATCTTCCTCATAGATCTTCCTCACAATTTCATCAATCAAGAGTTTCTCTCTAAGGAACTCCTTATAAGCCGCCTGCTTCCGCCTCTCCTCTTCCTCCAGCTGTTTCTCCAGTTCTTGCTGATAGAGCAACTTCTCCTGGTTGCGTCTTGTTTCAACAGCATTCTCTGCCTTGGCTGCTCTTTCTTGCTCTTCCTTCATTGCTTGGTAGATCTCTGCATCCTCCTTCTGTTGGCACAAATCCATCTACTTACACTGTTTTCCTCCTATTTACTTATAACTTAACAATCATTCACTTCATCTTCCTTGTCAGGTACCTCACTTTTCTCTGAGAAGATAGCTTCCAGATCCGTTCTCTCTACTGTATCACAAAATCTAAGGTTTGTTACAAATCATTTAGGTTCTCACATCACAGCATCATCTGCGTATGAAAGACATCTACACTTATATCCCCAGTCAACACCAGCGTTCTTTATGTATTGGCCCATAAATATTTCTTCAGTTACATTTTCTGCCATTTTCCAACATTCTCACATTTATTTCATCAGCATCCAAAAATTATTCCATAAAACTAGTTACCATTTTTTCATATTTCAGAGCATCTTTCTCAGCAATCTGAACAGCCCTCTCTTTATTCATATATGCAGATTTCAATTTCCTCTCCAATTCACGCAGTTCAATACTAGAAACAAACAGACAAAAAAAACCATGAAAATGATGATTGATTCAAGAGCTCTCTAAAGAATTAGCATGAAAGGCACTGGTTGGGTGACAGTAGGAAGCGCCTGGAGTGTGAGCTAATTAAGGAAAGTTACAGTCCTTGATTTATGACCACAACAGGCTGGAACTTTGGTTGTTAAGTTGAGGCACGTGTGTGACTGAATCCAATGTTTCTATGTAGTCTTCCAAATGGGCAGTTGTTGCCAAAAACCAACAAAGAAATTTGCAAATTCCAGTCATGACCATGGGACACTGCAATTGTGTTTGTAAATGAAGCTGTCCGTCTGTCTGAGAGTGTGTGTGTGTGTCACATTTCACAACAGTGCTTTACAAGCCATAAAACACCATTTCAGAGTCTACTGTTTCTTTGAATGGCCATTAAGACTGTAAGTTGGGGACTTTCTGTATATGCAAGGACTGATCCCCTCTGCTCCCAAAGATGCTTGGATGGGCGCCAGCAACAACTTCCAGCTCTTCCATATGCTGCGGGCTTTTTTCTGCCTCAGTCAACCATCAGGACGACCCTCAAACAACACAGCCACAAAATGATCATTAAAGGAAATACCTATTTTCTTTGATTTGTTGCCTCATTTTTTCATCTTTAAGTTTGTCATGGTTTAATCTTGCTAATTCAGTTGCCAGTTTTTCTTCCTGCTGCAATTCCAGGTCTTTTAGCCTTTTACTTTCTTCCGCCTGACAAAACATAGAATCACATACATTTCAGTGTGTTTGTCCGCAATTGTCTGATGGTTCAAGAAGCCTACAGGATGAATGATCTGGGCTTTGGTCGATAAGGACGCCTACAAAACCGCCCAGGAAATGGAACTACTTGATCAAATGTGCAGCGCAAGAGCGGATAATTGGTCAGGCGACGCTTTAACATTAATAATTACCTTAATATTTGACTAGTATGCCTTCCTTTGCGGGGCTGGGCGGGTGGGTTTTCGCTCCTTCTCTTTGAGGAGCAATGGGGGGGGGGGGCAAGGACCGCGAGGAGAGCCGGCTTCAACTCCCGCCGCTGACCAGGGAAGGCTCGCCCTCCTGCCAGCCGCCTCCCCGGCGCTCTCCGTCCGCGCCCACCTTGCGTACGGCCTCCTCCAAGCGCTGCTCGTGCTCCTCCTCCCGCAGCAGCCGCGTGACGCGCTTCTGCTGCACGCGGTCCTCGGCCTCCCACATCACCTCCAGCTGGTGGACGCGATCCAGCTTCTTGCGGTGCTCCAGCTCCCGCATCTGCTGGAAGTAGAGTTCGTGCTGCTTGCGGTCCATCAGCTGCGCCGCGGTGGGCTGCCGCCGGCTCGGCTTCTGCGCCATGGCCGCGGAAAGCCGCCCGTCCCGGGCTGCAGGCGCGGAGAGGGCGGCCGGGCGGCGGCCGAGGACAGAGAGCGGGCGCCGCGCTGCCTAGCAACGGGCGCTTCCGGCGGAAACCACGGAGGGGAGCGCGCTGCGTCTCTGGGCAACTGCGCCTCGGCTGCTCCAGTTCCCCCCCGACCGGGTCCTTGTGCTCGCCGACGCTCCCGGAAACCCCCTGTAGATGCGGCGGGGCGCCGGGAAGGGAGCGCGGTTGCCCGTCCGCCCTCGGCAAAGCTGCGGGGGATCCGAGGCGCTGGGACTCTTGGCTCCGGCGATACCAGGCACGCTTGCCCGCAAGTGGGCGGCTGCAGGCTCCGATGAAGCCCGGGGGGGGGGGGCGGGGGCGGCTGCAAGGCCGGGATCAGGCCGCCCTCCCTCCTTTGTAGCCCTCCGTCCGTGGCCTGTAGGGGCTCCATGTTTATGTTGTGGGGTTTTCTTGTCCTATTGGCTTTATTTGTAGCCAGTCAGAATTTGTAGGTTGGGTAGCTTATTCGTCCTTCCAGTGCACACACCCACAGCCGCACTGCTGCTCCGCAACAGTCAGGTGCAAAGGTTCCCCTCAGCGGCACCAACCGACTCTTCCCAGCAATGGGGTTCTCTTTTCACCGCTGACCAGCCCGCGTGGCCGCCTTCCTATTTCCTCAATAGCTGGGGGGCCTGAGGGCCAACGAAAGCAGCTGCGCAGCCTTGCAGCCTTGCCTCAGAATGTGCGGTGCCTTAACCCATGAACCCATCTTAAGGCAGGTTCTAAATGCCTTCCTTTTGGGGGGGGGGGGGAGAGAAAGCCTGGAGGCCTGCTGAGGGTGACCACTCCACAAACCATTTCAAAAACATACTCATGAAAAGGAACAAAACCTGTAATAGTTTCTTGCAAATATTTACTCCAAAATATGTACATTGGTGTCTTAACGGAAATTCAAAACATTTAAGTTCATAAAAACAAACCTCCAGTTCATAATCACTTTCTACAAGATTTAAAGGGCATTTTAGTTAAGTGTTAATATTGAAAATGCAAACTATTAAACCATGTTATACATTCCTTCACTAGCTACAGTATTTCAAAAGGATTTTCATGCCACCCCACCCCACCCCACCCATTTATTTGACATAAATTTAGATCTAAAATCCCCCTTCAGTATCTGACTCAAATGCTTCCAAATTTCTTCCTCCTCCTTTTGGTGACAGATTACATCTTTTCAACTTTGTGTTTCTTTCAAGCCACTTTGTATTTTCTGGGCCTGCCGTTAACAGAAAGAAGAAAAGCGTGACTGCCCCAAAGGAAGAGCCAGGGCTCACCTTTCCTACAAACAGGTATGTACAATTTTGTTCTGCTTGCACACAGGGAAACTCACAAGTATATTTATAACCATCCACTTTCACTGAAAGTTTTAAGTTGAACTCGGCCTCTTGTAAGATCACACTGATCCAGAGGTATCCAGACTGTTGCCATTGATGGGACGGGAATGCAACCCTCAGCCCTTTTGAGTGTTCTTCTGGTACATAGTCGTTTTTCAAAAAAAAAATAAAAAAATATGTGGCTTCTGTAAGAGCCCTTCCTTTGAATCCAGTAACATCTTTTCCTCTGGGTCCACATATTGTAAACCGTCACGGGCTTCTTCTGGGCTCCCTCCCTACCTAATTTGCAATGGACGAGCTGCACCCCCCTTCCTTGCTTGTTTTATCTTTCACCGTCTGCGTTGGCAAGGCAAAGTGTTCCTCCTTCAGCTGGTTTCATCACTGGCTTCGTCCTGATTACTGGGTAGGTCCTCTTGGTTCGGGCTGCTGCTTCCAGAAGAAAGGTCAGCTGGCTCAGAAGGGAGCCCGGTTTTCTTGGCCGAGGCTGGGACGCCTCCCTTCTGCTGCAAGATCTCAGTGGCCTCGTGCTCGAGCACCTCGGAGGGAGTCAGCGGCTCCAGGTGAATGCTGCCTTGCTCGCTTGCATCGGAATGGGCGGAGTCGGGCTCTCCCCTTCTTCGCAAGAACTGTTCAAAGCTGACCTCTTCCTCATTGGATGCCAGCAGAGTAGAATCCGTGTTCACATCTGCCAGTTGAGCTTCCTCTAAACTGGCCACCTTTGCCTGGACATCAGAGCCAGTCCACTCTGGACAAGCACTGCTTTTATTGCTTCCAAGCTGGGTGGGTTCTGCCTCTTGCTTGTCAAAAACTGCCTTTTCACAAGAGCTCTCCAACAAATTTTCTTGCAAACCTGGAGTCATACAGTTTTGCACAGCTGATGAAGAAGGACTTCCTTCATGCTCATCTGCAGCTGGATTTCCAAGAGGATACCTCACCATTCCAGTCGGAGAGTTTTTTGAAAAGGTGCAAAGCTCAGCAATGGAGGATTCATCACCAACCAATTCAGAGATACTTCCTCCACATTGTGCAGTTAAAGACATCGCTTTGTCCCCAGAATCTTCAATTCTGTCCTCACCTCCTTCACCTGCAAGATCTGCAGAACTGACTGAAGGAGCTGACGCTCCTAAAGCAAAGGCATCTTCGGTTCTTTCACACCTGCAAACTAAAAGTCCAACATCACTTTTGTTTCTCAGAGCACCTGCATCCCTTGCTGCTTCCAGCACTGTGGAATCGCTTGAACTGACTGGGAGTTCCCACCCAGCGGTGCTCCCGTCATGCTCAGCACAAGCATCTTCTGGGACTGGCAAACCGGCTTTGCTTTCAGCAGCTACAAAACGGGGGTTTTCTGGATGTGCAGAACCCTTTATGCTACTATCTTTGGAGCTATAGAGTTCTGAAGGGGCTGCAGCCAACAGCAATGCAGGGCCTTCCTCTTGTGCATTGGAAAGGTATCCATCCGCCGGCTTCCCAAGGCTGGCAGAGCCGCTTCCTCCTGGGCAGGCTTCAGGTTCTAGGCCAGAAACTGGGTTGTCTTCTTCAAGAGGCGATGGTTGTCCTTCGCAGCTGGCCACCGGCACACTTTCCTCCTGCTGATTTCCAATCCCCACCGGGGCCGGGCTCCTAGAGCAGGCTTCAAGCTCTGAACTAAACCTTTTTTCTGGAACTGGCCTTTTAGTTCCTTCACTGTCTGCAGCTAAAGCAGCGTCAGTGTCCTGCTTTCCAGGAAGATCAGCATTTGTTTCTCTCACAAAGCCTTTCATCTGCAGGCTGAAAAGCAATAAAAGCACTTTAATTACCTGACTGTTAATTGCTGCAGCCTATGGGTTGTTTTTTTGCGGGGGGGGGGGGGGGGGGGGGGGGGGGGGGGGGG